ATTTTAAATTAAGAGTATAAACATAGACACATAGAAGCTTTAAGTTAGCAAAGACCTTGGATGTTATCACCTCTCTGCAGGCCCCTCTTCCTCCCATTAATTCCTTTTACAGCATCCCTGACAGGTGGCCATTGTTTTCTGATTGAATGCTTCCAGTGATGTGGAGCTCACTTCACCAGGAAGTCCTGTCCACTGTGGCTCAGTTCCAATATTCAAAACTGTCCTTTCTTATGCTAAGCCAAGATCTTCCTCTTGGAAATTGCCTTCCTGATGGTTTAGATCTGAACTCTAGAGCAGCATGGAATAAATCTACTCTCTCCTCTGCAGGTTAAGTAGACCCAATTCCCTCATCTTTTCTTCAGAGGACAAGATTTCCATACTTTTTCTGGATGTCTCTCCCAAATGAATCCTAATTTTTTTTTACATATGGTAGCTCTTTTTATGTGATATCTACATTTGAACACATAAGCACAGTTTACATTATGTTAGTTTTTTGGTAGTTGCTCACACTGCATGAGTATCTGTAACTTACTCTCACAGTATCAGGTCAAGCTGAATCTCCCAAATCCTGGCCTTTTCCAAATGATTTTTTTTGAAGATTTTTATTTATTTATTTGAGAGAGATAGTGAGACAGAGCATGATGGGGGGGGGGAGAAGGTAGAGAGAGAGGGAGAAGCAGACTCCCCACTCAGCAGGGAGCCCAATGCCGGGGCTCAATCCCAGGACCCTGAGATCATGACCTGAGCTGAAAGCAGATGCTTAACTGACTAAGCCACCCAGGTGTCCCTCCAATGATTTATCTGAACGAAGATACTAAACTTTATATTTACTGTAATTAACATTAATGTCATCTTTAAGAAAAAAACGTGATTTTGAATAATTATTCTGTCATCTATCATTTCTGATCTCTTTGAGTTCTTAAATTTGGTATCTTAACTCAGAACATTGACAAAAATATTACTCAGTGCTGTGAAGTGTGTAAACCTGGCGATTCACAGACCTGTACCCCTGGGGATAAAAATATATTATATGTTTATAAAAAATAAAAATTAAAAAAAAAAGAAAAAATATTACTCAGGACTAGCCAAAAGGGGGGGGGAAAGTCCGTTTTTTTTTTTTTTTTGAGAAGTCAAAACCTCAAGATTTGTGTCACTCCATTAGTCAGCACTGTTTGAATCAACCTCTCTCTGCTGTAATATAAACTCATATCTCTTCATCTCATCCAAAAGGTGTCTTGACTTTTTGAAATGCCCAACACTTGTTCAGTGACATAATAAACCTATCAAGAAAGGAAGTGGTATTTCTCTTTTCTTTTCTTTTTTTTTTTTTTTTTTAAGATTTTATTTATTTGAAAGAGGCAGAGAGATCATAAGCAAGGGGAGGAGCAGAGGGAGAGGGAGGAGACGCAGACTCCCTGCCCAACATGGAGCCTGACTCGGGGCTCCATCCCGGGCCCTGAGATCATGACCCGATCCAAAGTTAGACATGGAACCGACTGAGCTACGCACACGCCCCAGGAAGTGGTATTTCTTTGTAATGATTTACTTGAAAACAATCAATGACTCCCATTAACTGTTACATTTTCCCTAACACGTGTTCAATGATTAATATTGTAAAATTTCCAGGGACTGGCATCAAGCTTAGTGGTCTGTATTTTTTTTTTTAAGATTTTATTTATTTATTTGACAGACAGAGATCACAAGTAGGCAGAGGCAGGCAGAGAGACAGGAAGGGAAGCAGGCTCCCTGCTGAGCAGAGAGCCCGATGTGGGGCTAGATCCCAGGAAGCTGGGATCATGACCTGAGCTGAAGGCAGAGGCTTTAACCCACTGAGCCACCCAGGCGCCCCAGTGGTCTGTATTCTTAAAAATCTGTTTTTCCCTCCATCTTGCAAATAATGACATTGGCAGTTTATCTTAATAGGAAGATAGTAATCAAATTGGGAAAAATTAAACAAGTAACCTAATGTGGGAATTTAAGCTCAAACAGGTGAAGTGGGAGCTCCTGGGTGACTCCAGACTCACCCCTCACTCATCTCAGCATTCACCAAGACTAGCTAATTCTGTCCCAAGAATATCACTTGTATTGTCATCACTTTTTTGTGCCCAGTAGAGACACATTCTCTCCCTTTCTTTTTCTCTCATGCTTAAACCAGAGTTTGGATTGGGTTTTCCATTACTGTGACAGAATTCTGACTTACTCAGGAAAGGGTGGCTCTTAGAGGACATCAGAGTATTGTTATCAGATTAAGGATGCAGGGCTGAAAAAACAATGGATTCTCCTACTCTCTCGCTGTCTCTAATTTCTTGTTTATTTAACCTACCCTTCCCATGTATGCCAGAATCATTGGTCTAAAATACTAGTTGTATCCTCTCAATGTGTCTCCTACTTCCTTTAGCATAAATCCAAAAGTTCTGGCATAAAATCAAGGCCTTTCAGTCTGGTGCTAACTTGTCTTCATTCCCTTGGGCCTGTCAGATTTCTTTCATTTCCAAAGTGTGCTCTGCACATTCATGCCTTTGTACTTTTTTTTTTTTTTTTAAATAGGCTCCATGCCTAGTGTGGAGCCCAGTGGGGGTCTTGGTCTCAGGGTCTTGAGTTTGGGGTTTGAACTCATGACCCTGAGATCAAGACCTGAGCTGAGATCAAGATCAGATGCTTAACTGACTGAGCCACCCAAGTTCCTGCCTTTGTATGTTCTGCTCTCTCATTCAGAAATCTTCTTCCTGATCCTTCCTGATGGAATCAAGCCCAGCTCAGATATTTTCTCTTCCAGCTGAACCTTTCCTGATGTTCTCATTAATTGTTCCTTCCAATAAGAGCAGGTAATTTGCATTTCTGCTCTGGAAGCCCTCGTGTCATGCTGATTTATGGTGTATTTACTCTCCTGCATTACTCCGCTACAATAGTGGTTTTCAGACTCTTTTAACAGTAGCATAGTTTGTAGCAATAACGGGTGATAAGTAGAAATACATTTTACATTGTTTATCCAATTGGCATATTTATATATATCTTATTTCATCAAGTTTAAGAAATACTTCTATGTTAATATTTCTGAAATCACGATATAGCAGAGTATCATATTTTGATAAGAGATTTTATTTCCTTTTTTGTTGTTTTTCCTTTCAAACAATAGTACATAAAGTAATGGTGTGTCATAATTTATGACATTTCAGATTTGTTGAAATATAGTACATAATGGAAACAAAAGTTTCACAAAATCACATTTACCCTGTGGGCAATGCTTTCAGTTTTTTGCTCTCTTTTCTTAAGAAGAAAAATGCTGGTCATAATCCACTAAAATCATTTCACTACTTACTACTTGATCATAACCTGCAGTGTGAAAAATTAAGACTATTTACTGAGAAACGAGAGGAGTAAGAACTCAGACAGACTGCAGTAACATGACTTTACATCTCCACTGTTTGCATAAACACGACGTGAATTCCAAGAAATTCTTGCCCAAGAAGATGAAGTTGCAAATAACTTAATTGCAGTTTCAGGAACTTCCTCACTGTCTATTTATCTGAACAAGAGACTACTGACTGACATAGCCTTCATCTGGATAAAGAGCCTGCTCCTCAACACAATTACTGTTGGGTTTATCAAACAATTGTTTGCTCTTCTAGCCTTGCTTCAAAACTCTCCACTGCCTGTAATCATCTTAAATGATTATATCACAAATTTAGCCCAATTTCAATCGTGCTTTCATTGCAAGACTTGTCTTAAACCAGATGCCCTGAATCTTCTAACTATTCTACACTTTCCTCTTTGAGAGGCTACTAAGACTTATCAACATAGTGATATCACTTGCTGTTGTAAGCAATAAACTTAGCTTTGTTTGATCAACAGTTTCTTTTGCTGGTCTTTGCGGGAAGTCAGGAGCTGACACTATATGACAGGCTCTCAAGGAAAAACGCAGTATTTATTTTCCTCCTACCTCCTCCCAGTGATGAAACACTGATGGATGAGGAAGGAAAGGTGTCTCAAGAGTCCGAGAGTACCCTATTGCAGGGGCAGTAGGGACCTATAGTGGTCACAGGTAAGGAGCTCTTGCTGCAGAGAAGCTGCAACCACAAATTAGAAATCCTGCAGTTGGACCAGGCCTTCCCTTTCTCTTGGTTTTATCTATTTGCCATCTCCTCTTCACACCTGGTACTCAGATGGCATTGCTTTAAATATAGAAAATAGAAATCCAAGTTCCATCCCAATCACTTAACTTCAGGGTACTACGTGATCTTTAAAGTGGTTATTTGCCTCAAGCTTGAAGCTTGAAGATGTATCTAATAATGGATAAGGGACTGCCAAACGTTTGGTTCTCGTCAGAAATGATTAAGTCATTGAAAAAATATGCTGACCCGCGTCTCTAATTTCATAAATACCTACATAAATTTCCCATAAAAACTGGAAAGGCTCCTTGGACCCAACAAGCCGTGCTAAATAAAACAAGTTTGTTCTTATCCAAGTGGTCCCAAGAAGGCACCAATCTATATTTCCCAAATTCTATGATTCAGGCCTAGCCCCAGCTCAGCAACAAGCCAGGTGCTCTCCTCCTTCCTGTTTTTTGCTTTCACAGTACCACCCCCCCCTTCTTCCGGTTATATTGGGCTCCTTCTGATCCAGCTGAAAGGTCACCCGTGGCGACCTCACTTAGAAGCATTCCTCCTTCCTCCGTATCCTCAGGCAGAATTAATGACCTTCTAAGCACTGGGCCTCCAACAGCGTTTGCCTGGTACTTCGGCTGTTGCCTTCTAGCCAATCCATCTTCAGGCCCAACCTATAGTGTTCCGGGCCCATCGCTAGGCACATGGACGGAGGCTAACTCCTTTCGGATCGCCCAGTGGCTTGCCAGTCGGAGGTGCGCGGTAAACCACCGCCCCGACTCCCCTCCAAGGAGTTTGGTCACTTTGAGCTGTAGTGCTGGGCTAAGTGCAGAGCTAGGAGGGCCTATCTGCCCACCTGCCCGCCAGCCCCCGGCCCAGTCCCCGGGAGGCGGCTGACTAGACCGCGTGCCTCTCCCACCGCCCCCGTAGCGCGCGGAGCCCAGTCACCAGCGTTGGAAATTCCGGCGCGTGCAAGCGCTCGGGGCCGGGCGGGGGCGGGGGAACCCGTGGAGTGAGCCTGTGACGCGAGGGGGCGTGGCTCGCGAAAACCCCGCCCCCTCTCCCTCGCCCTCTCTCGCGGGTCGGGGTTACATGGCGGCGACTGCGGCAAAGCGAGAGCCTCGGAGACGCCGCTGCCGCCAGCACAGCCGGAGACCTGAGCCGACACTGGGGGCTGTCCGCGGGCCCCGCACTCCCTCGATGAGCCGGAGAAGTCCCGTGAGTGTGTGTGTGTGTGTGCGTGTGCGGGGCGCGCTGGCGGGGCGGCGCGGAAGGGCGCCGCGGCGGGCCCGGCGGCGGCGGCGGAGCCGGCTCCCTCCTCCATTGTGTGTGACCCTCCGGCGGCCGCCGCTCAACAAAGGCGCTTTTGTTCCGTCTCCGGCCCGCCCGTCCGCCCGCCGGCCCGCCCGCTCGGGCCTGGCCGGCGCGTCCCCGCGCGGGCTGGCAGGCTGGCGGGCGGCGGGCCGGGGTCCCCGCGTGGGGCCGGCGGAGCGGCCGGCGCGCCCCTCCCACCCGGCACGCCCCTCGCCGGCCTCCCGGCCGGACCGCGCCCGCCAGCCCTGGGGTCCCGCCGCTCGGCTGCGGCGCCGCCGCCCGCGCGCGGTTCCGCGGGTTCGAAGCCCGCCCCGGCGGGCGGGCGGCGGGCGAGGGGCGGCGGCCGGGAGGGGTGGCCCGGGGAGCGTGAGGTGGCGCGGAGTCTCGCCTTCCTGGCGCGGTGCCCTCGAAATGCTCCCGCGTCTCCTCCCCCATCCCACTCGGGTGACTCGGCCTCAGCTGACTCCGGCCGGGCAAAGTCCCCGGCGGACTCGGCGAACTGCGTAGCGCGCTCCGCTCACCCGGCTGGTTTCGGAGTCCCGGAGTCCTCTGCCCAAGTTCTGAGTTCTGGTCGTAAACGAGGTACAGAAAACTTGTCCGGCTCGGAATTGCTCATTTCTCTGCTCCCCTGCTCCCCCACCCTGGTGCAGCCTTTCCCTGGCTGTTCGGGACGCGGAGCGCTGGTCTGTGAAAGTGCTTCAATGGAAACTTGTTTTGTCCGTCACCGAAAAGGGCCTCCTGGCTTGGCCGTGCGTTGCTGCCTGCCTTGGTGAGGTGCGTGGAGAAGTAGAGGTCTCTTGGCCGCCTTTTGTTCCTCGGCTTCATAGGACTCCACTGGTTCAGGTGTTACGTGGGAGCTCTGTGAAGCAGGATCTTTTTGATTCCTTTCCTGTTTTATTTTCTCTTTTGCTTGCTCATTGGCAGAGGTCCAGTGAAGTGGTGGGATTAGAAGCCTTACTGCATTTGCAGCAAAATTCCTGTTGTTTTCCTCAATGCTAAAAATGCTCTTAAAAATCAGTATTAACTTTTTTTCTTTTTTTAACGTTATAAGATGATTTGTCAAGGGGGAAAAAAAATTAACGGGGGACAAAATGGAGTGCAGACCTCTCCAGAGTAATTTTCTGATTGCTGCTGCTTCTAGCCTTTTTAGTTTTTAAGGTTCTGCTTGGACATAGTCTCTCTCTTCAACCTTGGGAAACTGAGGTGGAAACAGTAATTTGACTAGAAGAATGTAGGGTCCAGTCCAAACAAGGCCTGGCCCTGAAAAGGAGCTACCTCTAGAGTTTATTATTAGAGATGTCAGATTTTAACGTTTGAAAAATAATCTTGAATTGGGTGGGAGAATCTCTAAGATCTCTAACGGGTAGTTGTTCAAACACGTTTATGAAGGGTCTGCTTGCTATGTGCCAGGGAGTGTAAAGTCCTTTCACATATATATGTTACATCACTTAATAAGAATTGCCTGGTGAAACTTGTAAAATTGCTTATTGGTGTTCTAAATTCAGTAATTGCAGTCATCTAGGAAATATGCCAGATTTGAGCAGGACATGTTTTATTATTTAGATTTTACTGTTCAGGAAAAAAACAACTGGCAAACAGAATTGTTTATAAAAACCTTTATGTATATTTTGGAGTTTGGTTACTTGCAAAGGAGGATTCAATGTAGTGTTTGACTATTTGTGATTGAGAAAGAATCTAAAGAAGATTGATTTGAAGATGGGTTAATTTTGTAAAAGAAACAGTACATGTTCTAATGACAAGTGTTAGTACTAAATGTGTTGCAGTGTTTTGCATAAGTTCATTTAAACATCGTGAGAATTCATAACTGACAAAATAGTGAGGTTTGCTGACTCAGGGTACATTGGTGTAGGGGATGGGGTCTGGTAGGAGGAAGCTCAGAAGTGCTGCAAGTTTTGAGTTGGGTGATGACTCATACTGCCCACGGACTGCTACGTGGCCCCTTTTTTTTTTTTTAAACACTGTATTTTTTTAAATGATAGGGCTAAAATGTTTCTATCCACATTATAATTCTCTCTCAAAAAGAACTACAGTTTCTTTAAGAGTAATGGCTTCTTAAATTGCATTTTAAAAGGAGATCAGATATCCTACAGGTGGAATTTTATAACATTTGTTGAGAGGAAAGGTGAAATTAATTGCTGGTCAGTTGTTAAAAGGTTTGATACTAGCAGTTTTCTCTTACTGAGAAAGATTTGTTACAGATTATTTATAAAAGAATTTTATGGTGTGAGTAGAAATTAGGCTTATGTTCTCATTGGTAACGTAAAAGTTACATTTATAATATCTAGAAACTAGTTTAAGTGTTGTAAAAGTGCAAAAGTATTAATCGGATATAGCTCTGAACATGAACATTTCATTCAGACAGAATTATACAATAGTGCTTTCTCCTAATCTGTATGGATTTTCTCTGTGTTTTTATGATACATATGAATTTTCTGTTTTAATAAAGACAACATGAAGTAGGTATTGTTATAGGCACTTTAGCTTCTTTTTTTTTTTAAGATTTAAAATTTTTTTTATTTTTAAGTAGTCTCTACACACATCATGGGGCTCGAACCCACAACCCTGAGATCAAGAGTCATATGTTCCACCAACTGAGTCAGCCAGGCAACCCTCATCAGTCTTTTTTAAAGATAAGCAGAACGTACAGTTCCAAATTTAGGACCCACACTGAAATTTGGTAATAAGATATTTTGACTGATTTTTAAAAGCCACCTTTTAGCAGGTTGTCCTAAATTAAGATTGGGAGGGAAAAAAAGAGTGAGAATAGCAGTTTGTTTTAAAAGTGAGAAGAAAACCTCCTCATCTCTTAGGTTTTTTTTATATACTGTTTTATCTTCTCAAAGTGATTTATTTGAAGAGTTTCCTAAGTAGTAAAGTGTATTGTTAAAGTGAATTAAATCTTTGGAAAGATTTTGGAAGTGCCTGACATGATTTATATAGAAGAACTTTAATGAAGTTTAATTTAAACTTTAAAATATATTTCTTATTAAAGGAAATATAAAAATATAAATATAAAAAATGTAGATTTTCAAAACATCCTATCACCTAGAAGTTGAACATGTATTTCCAGGGTTGTTGTTTTTCAAGTTTTTATTTATTTATTCGAGAGCATGGAGGCAGGGGAAGCATTGAGGGAGAGTGAGAGGGAGAAGCCGATTCCCCACTGGGCAGAGAGCCTGCCCTGGGAATCAATCCCAGGACCCTGGAATCATGCATGACCTGAGGCTGAGGCAGATGCTTAACCACCTAGAGCCACTCAGGAGCCCTCCAATTTTTTCTTTGTTTTTTAAGAATATAAGTAATTACCTGTCATGCATAATTCAGAATTTATGAACAGACTGGATATTTTAGGCTGTCTCCTTTTTATGAGATACTGCTTTATGAAATGGTGAGCCACACTGTTGTCCATTTCATTGTTTGCATTGCCTGTTTGAACCATGTATGACTGTAGGGCTCCTGTTGAAATAGGAGGCTGTCCCAAGGGTAGTTCTTTGTGGCATTGTTGGCTATCCCATGTCAGCTCTTTTAGCCTGTTCTGTGGACTGTTAACATTACTTTGTTGCCTGTTAGTGGCATGGGGATTTTGGTCACTTTTTTATTGCTCAGAGCCTTGAATGAAACTTCACAAAAACAAAACAACAGTAATGTTATTGTAGTTAATGGCTTTTTCCGGGGAGTTGCTTTTCATGTAGAACTGATGCTTTTAAGGTAACAGTAGTACAGGCTGAGTCCTGCATTGTTTGTTTGTTTTTTCTTCTATGAGCTATGTATTTAGAAAATATAGTGTGCCCCTCTGGTGATTCTTAGTGGTTTGTCTTTCATAGACATCAGCCTTTTAAATCCATTTCTGAAAAATTGTACAGAGATTGAATATTTATATGGCAAATCACATTTTCCCATTGCTTTTCATTTAAATTTAGAATGTCTTTTCATGGGAAAAAAAAAATGGTAGCACAAATATTGTTTGTTAGAATCCTGGCATTTACTTCAGGGAAGAAACTTCCTGTGCAAAAAGCGAAATCTCTGCATTTCATTCTGTACAAACTGCATGTTAGTGTTTACAGGGGGTTCATGACCATTGTCCTTTCCCAGTTACTTGACAGCTGAGGAAACTGAGGCCCAGAGAGAACTAAGATCTTAGTACACAAAGTGTGATTGCTGGACCAGCAGTATTAACATCACCTACGAATATGTTAGTGCAGAATTCTTGACCCCCTCCCAAGACGTACTGAATTAGAATCTACATTTTCATAGGATTCTTAGGTGATTCAAATGCACATTCATTTCTAGAAGCACTGTTAAATGATACACATACATCGTTGCTCAGCTGGCTAGTGCTGATTTGGAAAACTCAGATCTTTTGAGTTATTCCTTTTATTGGCTCTCCTGAAAAAAGTTGAAGATCTAATTAATCACTGTTCGGTAGCACTTTCTATGATGATGGAAGGCTCTATTCTTTGTTGTCTATTGAAGTAGCCAACTAGCCACATCTGAGTGTTGAGCACTTAACAATGGTGGCTAGTGCACCTGAGGAACTGAATTTTTAATTTAATTTTAATTATTTTTAAATAGCTGCAAGTAGCTAGTGGCTACCATATTGGACAGCTCTGATCTGGGTGATTTATGTTGACACTAAATTTAAAGTAATCTAAACTGTAATTTAATAACTGATTAGGCTCAGTTTAATAATTTCCTCCTTCATTTACAAATTGGAGAGATGGTCAGTTTCTAACTGCCTACTTTTTCAGTATGCCCAGATAGGATTTTTTTTTTTGCCTAGATACGATTTTGTAGTTATTATAAAGCACTGCCAGTTTTCTGATTGATACTCTTGTAAAATAAGTTGCAAGAATGTGTTTTCCTGTTTGTGTTAATAAAGGCATTTTCACTTAGATTAAAAAAAATTAAAAATAGTTGTTAAATAAATGTTCCTTAATTAGCTTATAGATAGCGTGGAGGGGACCGTTTTTACCTCGGGCCTACTACTTCCAGGCTCATTGGTACTTGTTAGCTGCCAGATTTATCTGCCATTTTTTAATGTTATTTCCAGGTGTGGAAACATTGGTTCTTAACCTGCCACCTTAGGTAATGGTAAGATTCTAATCCTAAAGTGAATCACACTGGCCTGTGACTAAATCTTGACATTTACTATATATGTGATTTCAGTGAAGTTGCTTTACTTCTCAGAGCATCCATACTCTTGTTTGTAAAATAAGACTGACAAGGTACTTTATGGTTTTGAGTAGCAAAATAATTTGTCACAGAGAATGCCTGGCACTGAATGCATACTCAGTAGATACAAATTACCTTCCCAAGCTCTCCTGCTTAGCTTTTCTAGCCTTCTGTAATTTATTCTTATGCTTGAGATTTCAACCAGGCTTAAATTATACTCTGATGTTAAATTTGATCAGTTCCCACTGGTTGCTCTAACTTCAGGCTTTGCTTCACTCATGTTTATCCCTTGTAGATTCTTCCGCTTTCGCTTTGGATTCCTTCCCTTCACTTCTTAAGGACTCATCTCTTGCTTGCATCATGCATTTTTCCCT